GGGGGTGGGGAACAAGTCTTCATAAGCTCTTAAAATCCTAATTTAAAGCAAATTCTTCAAGTGCTACTACATTTAACCTGTCCTTGACATAGTTCTTCAAGTGCTGCAATGTCTTTCATTTTAGCAAGTTCTTCAACCTTCTTCATGAGGGATCGATATTGGTAGTGGGAGGCATTCTTAACCCATAAGATACCACAAACAATGCATCAGTGCAACAGTCTATGAGCGAGTGATCAATTATGATGCATATAATAGATATACCTCTTCTCCATATTGTTTCTTCAATTTAAGAATAGTGTCATATGCCTCCTCCTTTCTGCGGTTGGTATATATCAAGTGTTTCTGTAGACACCTTATATCCTTTTCTACCTTCTCTACTTCTTTCTTTGTCTTCTTAATTTTGGACCTTACTCTTGCCTGTCTTTTCCTACATTCATCTGAACAGTCGTAGATTTCCTGCAACTTTTGTTGTACAAAGAACATGGGATAAAATTTTATTATAAATTATACAGTTCAATCAATCAAAGTTCTGTGTTTTCTTGTTTCCTCTTACTTCTTCTAGAATGGCCTTTTTCAAATGCGAGGAGGTCCACATCTCTCCCTTCACCGGAGCATCACCAATAGCTTCCTTCCTCTCAAGCGCACGAGCAATTTGAACATCAATTTGCGCACGCCGCAGACCGCTCAACAACGGCATAATCTGTTTGTATAACTCAGAAAATTAATAAAGATGATAATTCATCAATTCCTAAACATAATATTCTAAATGCCTAATGCTGAGTATTACAGAAGAATCGACTTCGTCTGCTGTCAAGTCACCATCCATCTCTTGTCTTGTATTAACCTCCGCTAGTAGCTTTCTCTCATCAGCCATATTTTTACACCCATGACGCATCAAGAAAGATAGTTTCTGGTAGATAATAGATTGCATGAGACGAAAAAATCGAGAAAGTCTAAAAAGTTGAATGAAATACATAAGAGAAAAGTTTAGAGTTGATCATACTTGCTTATCAACTTTCCCTCCTGACAAGCACGAGTTATTTGGTTTCCCTTTACATGCTTTGTTTGCAGAAGTCAGTTTGTGTAATGATAGATGGAGGACATTCATTCTGTGTCTGTAGTATTCTAGGTTGTATTCATCCCAATTTTCATAGTATCGTTGGTTCTCCAACTTGGTGATCACCCGAGCACGGTCCATCTACAAACAAAATTTATTATATTCAGTGTGTGTTGCACATCAATATCACTTCATCTAGGAAAACTGATTCGTCTAATAAATGAAGATTTCAATCCTCCATTGTTATACATCGAAAAGCTCATATGAATCATGATCTGTGAATTAGAAAAAATAAGGACTATAATTCTCTTCCACATACCTGTCTGTCCCTTATCTTCTGGGCGACAAGAATTTGGTCTTGATTCATCTTTGTAATCGTCTCTTCAGCCTTGATCATGGCATCTATGTTTGAATTTTCAAGTGCCAAAACTTTGGCAAAGTAAAATTGTCGAACTCCACCAGGCATTTCATCGAACATTTGGTGTTCATCAACTATCGCCTCATCACCAGCAACTTCTGGTCCTTCCTCTACCACCTTGTTCTCTCCAAAGTTGCAATCTCCTTCTCCCATGGCGATGTGCTTTGCCTAACAACGCCCAACAAAGCAAATACCATACAGAAACACTAAAATAAGTTACACCCATTTCTAAACCTAGCATCACATTCTTGTTCTCTAGGCTATAAACTAGAACTAATTCACATTTATTGTTGCAATATAAAAGCTTCAATGATAAGTGCAGAAAACTCATATTCCAGAAGGAAAACAGAACGAGGAAGAGACAGAACGGGTTCGATACCAAAAGATCAAAACAATGGGTGGTTCGAAGTCGAGCTGCGAGTGGGTGAAGATGGTAGCCGGATTATACGACACAACCATCCTTCTATTGGCTGTATGTAAAGGGAGCTGATTGCTCCGCACCGAGCACCTGCTCGCCACGCCAAGTTTGAATGTAAATAAAAGTCAACTGCAACTCTGCAAGTGGGTTTAGATATAAAATGGAGATTTCGCAATTTGGGCTGCGTTCCCATCACCGGAGAGACGTGCAATTCAAGACATGAATTGCAAAAAATGGTTCAAGAAGTTCTTGGCTAAATTAAAAAGACAAACAACTTGACTGCTGGTTGAGATAAACATTCCAAATTTGGTGGCCGAAAGAAAGAATCTATCATAATAATGCCCAAAGCTAGTTTATGATCATCTAAGTCAAGCGGTTGAGATTAATTAACAAATGGAAAATTCAATTAGAATTTTTGGAGAATTTGAAGCATCCTTTAAGAAGCCTTTTCATGAGGATGGGATATGTTGCTTTAGAAGCTAAATTTAGATAAATGAGAATCTTTTGTCTCTCATCATGTTGGTCATTGGGTGGTGGCACCATAGTATAGAGATTTTGAGATGAATACTAAGTCGCCAAAATTCGAGCGGGACGAACAATGATATAATTATTGAGTGAGTCAATCATAATGTGACTGTCTCGTAATAATAGTTGGATGTGAATTCTATAATTTATGTCCTTTAATAACTTGAAAGTTGAGGATCGAGATCAAATTTGGTAAAATGATAGAAAATTATAGTACTTTCTTGTCACACCTACCTTGGACTAAGAATTTTATTTGGTAGATCCTACGTCCTTAAAGTTCCAAAAGGAGGATTTCATGGTATTGAGAAAGAAGTAATATAATTGTGGCTGGTTGAGCTCTAGAGTGATAGGAAGGCCGAATTAGAGTTGAAAAGAAGAAAGCAATTAGAATAGTATGAGCATCCATGTGAGTGTAAGGTCTCAATCTGTATCCACCACCGCCCAAACAACAGAGGCAGCAATGTTCTTCAATAATACCCAACCAGCCTCGCAGTCAAGATACAAAAACTGATCAAAAGTAGGGTTCAATCCAGAAATGAAAGTTAAAACGCATTTAGACAAACAGAGTAATGTTCATGGCGTAACCACATCACAGTGAGGCCTATCTTTATGCTTTGCTTTTACATAATGAACGAGGGCTGTTGCATTTAGACATGGAGATTTATAACACAGCATGTTCAGTGCATACATTTACATCCCCATTGGAAGGCCTTTTAGGGTATTGGTCAAAAGGAAAAGTTCAAGAGAAGGATAAATATGTGGCGCACTTTGTCTACCACATCCTTGTTTTCCCTCATGTCACTCATATAACACATTCGGATTTTAGTTTCATGTTTGGTTCCTAAAAACCAAAGTAGACACAAAAGTTTAGTAGGTCCAATAAAATGCTCATTTTTTCGTTTTCGTTTTCGTATTCTAATCTTTGAAAGCCTTGATAGAAACATACCAGACGGCACAAGGTTTGAATGTAAACCTCTCTTCATACAGTGAATTTTGTGTTAAGGGTTAGTAGTATGAACACGTCTTATCATGGATCAATGGATCTACCAATCATTTTAGTTTGGATTTGACAAGCTTCGGTAAAAACTTGAAAAGCTTGCAAGTTCATGGAGCATGGCCCCCCTTGCACCTTCCCCACTCTCTCACTACATCCAATGCAAATCTAATCAACTTAAGATTCAAATATCAATCTACCAGGTTCAAAACTACAAAACAAATAGACCAACCCAACTTATCAGCTCGAAATTTACCAATGACTTGACATTAAAATCTGAAGCCTTTGTTCCTAAATATTCCGCCCCAAGTTGTAAGACACAGTAAAGTAACATTATAATCAGTGCTCACATTTTCATATTGGGAGCATATCCGGGACAGACTTGAGCCAAATGAGATCTTTTTCATGCTAAGGAAATGACTTGAGAAGGCTTCAGATACGTGATGACAGAACTGAAATCATATCAATTTCTTTCCTAGGAATAGTATTTTCTCTCCCGTAAAAGCTCAGAATAAGACTGAGAGGATCAGGACATTTACAAATTATTGTTACAGTTAAAGAGGATAAACTGCTTCCTTTTCTTCTTCTTAATTAAAGGGGATAAACTGCTTCCTTTTCTTCTTCTTAATTAAAGAGGATAAACTGCTTCCTTTTCTTCTTCTTACCCTATCTCACCAGGTTACCATGTCTTTATAGTCGAAGGATACTACTGATATCCACAATAAATATGAACAACAAACAAGAACTAGCTGATATCCACAAGGGTAAAATTTATGTCCTATAACAGAATGTTTCAGAAACGTGGCGTTGTAAAAGGCTGGATCTAAAAGCACATAGGACCCAGGCATATTGTTTTCTTTTTATATTTTCTTCTCGAACAAATATTCTGACATGATGCTAGAGATCATGTTATGAAGCCTAAAAGACTATTATCACCTATTTCTAGCAGGGAAACAAGCACATATATCATGGTCATCTATACAATTGTAACACAATTTGAGGTTAGCAACAACGATGCTAGAATCATGGTCATCTGCCTGATCCAATATGGAATCACATATGAAAATAAGATATTGAAGAGTTTTGTAACACAATGTATAGTCTCTTCTACCTCTCCAGGTCAAATAATGCAAGTGTGCCCCTGATCAGAAACCATTTATTTATTTGTGAATTATCTTTGCTCCTATTTTGGTCCAACACAAGATTCTCTACAGACCCCACCACTCATTTTGGGGTTTGCCCACCAAATCATAGTGAAGTTGTTACAATTATAAGGATGGAAACTATCATTTTCACACGGAGGCATATGCAAAACATGTTGTGTGGATAGCACAACCATGTACAAAACATGACTAAATTAAGGTACTTAAAGCTGATTAATTATAACTAAAACAGAATGTTTAATAACATAAAGAATAGGAAATTAAGGTTGGGAGAGAGTGGATACCACCACCACCCAAAGTACCAAAAAATCAAAACCAGTCACATTCATCTGATGGAATGACCAGCTTCCACAAGGGTGTCCCAGGACCCACTAACCATTTGGCCACTTGAATGGATAGCATAACCCAACCAATTCTTTTGTAACCATCCCTATGTTTCCTTTACCCACATCATCTCAGACTATTGGAGGTATGCAGGAAGAGTTTGACGCTTTGTTGATAAATAAGCAGTGAGCTAAACTATGGAAAAACACCTTTTTTCCCCTCATCATCCCTCTAAAGTGAACACATCAAAACTCAGTTCTCTGAAGCACAACCAGAAAGATGAAGGTAAACTTAATTCTGCATGAATCCTTGTAGAGTGTTTCTGTCTAAATACTAAATGATTTTGTGGTTTCTCCTCAGTTACTTGGTTGGATGCACCGTAAACTTCGGCAGAATGGTGGTGAACCGTTCAAAGATTATGCCATTGGTAAATACCTTCAACTAGTATTCGTCTGTGACATTGACCCTGCATTGTATAGCAGATGATTTTGACTTGAAATTTCATACCAATAGCATATATTTCAAAACCCAAGTCATAATAAGTATATATGTTTAATCAGTCTAGTGCATTTGATTGAGAACATATGCTCAACCAGAAATTACAAATAAACCATGAAATCATTGTTGATATGCTGAAAGCACGTAGGTCATTCTTGTAATTGTTGTTTTTAGGCCAACAATCGGTTGATGATCAGCAATACATCTCAAAGTCAAGCATTAAACCTTTCAAGCAAGCCCAGCGAGAACAGCAGCTTCGAAAATCTTTCGCTGGTCTGGAATCTGAAGTAGGAGATGAAGACTACGAAGATGAATCATCTCATCAATTGTCTGAGATCTTCCACGGATTTCTTGCAATTGGAACTCTAGGATGTGATCAAGTCATCAATGACCCAATGACACCAAAGTTTTCAATTTCCGTTGAGAATATAACGGAAAAAGAAACTGAAGTGACTGAAAATGAACTAAAGCTTATCAATGATGAGTTGGAAAAGGTTCTAGGAGCTGAAACTAAGGATGAGGGATACAATGATTCCTCTGGGAGAAACAGTCACGTGAGCATGGGAAGGAGCAGCCATGGTAGCACAATTACCCTAAGTGGCAAGCCAATGGATGGCCTGGAAAGCAATATGAGTGGAAGCATCATCTGCCCACTTCAAGGATATCTTTTTGGGTCAGCAATTGAATTGTCAGAGACTACAGCAGTTGCTAAAAAGGAAAACAGGACCTCCCTTGGCGAGCTGTTTCAGAGAAGCAAAATAGCAGAGGAGAATGCTGGTCCAAAATTTGACAAGGAAGACAGGAGAGCTGAAGAGGATATTGATAAATCTGCCATGCATCTTATGAAAAAGAAACTGAAGAAACGAATGCTGTCTGCTTCTTCCCGGAGCTCTGCAGCAGCTGTTGACGGACTCAATGATTCTGCTTCAGCAGAAACAAAACTGCATAAGGTACGCCAAACTATGACTTAAACTTAACCCTTGCTTCCAATGGTATTAAAGAATATATATATATCAGAGAGATCCAAACTAGAACATATGACATGACATGTTGGTTGCAGATCTTTCACATGTTCCACAGAAAAGTTCACCCTGAAAGCTCAGCAATCATACAGAAGTCTGATAAACACCAAAAGGTTCAGAAAAAGAAGAAAGCAATCCATAACCATGATGGTTGCTGCAACAATGGAGAGCAGACATCTGATGAGGATATCATGATATATCCTCAGAGAGCACTGTCGAAGCCAAGCTTTCGACGCATCAAGAATCAATTTCCACCACATTATGGACTAAACAGTTCTGATCCAAATGACAACAAGGAACGCTGGATTAATTCAGATGAAGACTGTAAGTTAATAAACTCATCAACATCCACCTAGATGTCCTGTTGATTTTCATAAACACTAATATCAGCACCCACAAGCTACAAATTAATGCTTAAATAATAGTCCTAAGTTAGTATTTATGCTCAGCTTTGACAAGACGGATGAATAGGAGCTAATCCTTGTTTAATTGACTTTGGCTATGTTCATCATAGATCTAGTGCTGGAGCTTTGAGAGGGAGGCAGAAGAAGCATGTTCCTTGTTCTTCACTATCCGACTGTGTTGCAGTATTGTGTACTCATATTGGTAATTATTGATGATAGTGTGCAAGTTACTACAGTCTGAACAGCGTTTGGGTGTGAAAATAAGTAGAGGATCTCCCTCTTCAAACACTCACTTTGTATGTTGTGTGAAATGTATTGCTATCCCTACAACACTTTATGATCATATTTTCTTGCAGTTGATAATTCTCTGTTACCTTTTTCTTTCGCTTTTCACAACCCTCTGCTTTTTAATTACCTGACATGAAAAAAAATATATTCGTCTCCACAAAAAAAAAACAGTCATGCTTTTATCTCGAATATTAAAACAAAGAAAACTAGAAAAGCTATCAAACTCGTCCAAGAAAGGGGGTTAAAGAAAAAAAATTAAACAAAAAATTACCCTATAAATTGTACCAAGAAAACTGTAAGCAAGTAAATGATGGTTGAAATTCTAAATCATTTCTTCAGTTAATTTTTTTTGTAGAAAAAAGTAACGTCTCTTCCTCTTCTCTTTGGAAAGAAGCCAGGATATCTTGATTTATGTACATGAAAAGACAATCAGGGGAAACATGGCAGTGATATTTGCTAGTGTGAGAAGTTGGATGAGTTGTTCATTGTCATTTTTTCCGAGGTGACCATCTAAACCAGAGACAGATACCGGAATGAAGGAAATGCGGAATCAAATTTGGCAGGGAAGAAATTCAATAGCCATAAAAGATAAACTTTAGTTCTTGTTCACCCCACTCTACAGAGTACAAAGTTACATTAAAAGTATTATTGGACTTCACCTAGCACATACACTATGTTGGAGCCAGAAGTACCCGTGATCAATTCACGTACTTTTGTATCACACAGCCCCCCACCTAACTTCATTTGATCCGCTGTGTTTATCTGGTTTTCCTGGTCAAAATTTTGAGCCACCTTAACTACTTCCTCCTTTTCTTAGACCGTTTTCGTGAATGTCGTCCCTTTATTTTCCACTTATCGTTGCCAGCAGATCGATTCTGCTCTTCGATTTCTTGTACTTCGCGTTTCCTGCAAGGGGTTTTTGAAAGGACATCAGCACAACAAAATGCTTGAAAGTGCACCAGAATTATTACTCTCTAGCATGAAACAAAAGAGTCATTGAAATTATGGGGCGAATCAATGGAAGAACTGGTTAAGGAATCCTCATCACAACTAGAAAAACTTGCAACAGAAAGAGGGCATGACAAAGATCAAACCTGTACTGAGTAAGGGCCTGGTCAGATAGCAATTCGTCTGCAAGCGTTGCTCTCCTTTCCTTCTTTGTTAATCTACCCGAAAAGAAGTCCAAAGAGGACTCAACCACAGTTCCCACCTGATGAATACTTAAAACATTACATAAGTCAAAAGTAAATATTAACACTAAAATTTTACTTTTGCCCGTCTTTAAAACTAGTAAATACTTGTGAAAGTAAAAGCTTGCCTGGAAATATTTGGGAAGTGTTTTTGATTTTGAGTCACCCTTCTTGTAGTGTCTCTTTGGATCAATGACACTCCTCAGCTATAATCATCAAGAGAAATTGAGATGCATAAGTCAATCAAACAGATCTTTTCAGAGGGAATAGATGCATAAGTCAAATATACGCACTCCAATGTCCAATATCAGGTTTAAGAGTCCCACAATGCAAAGGTTCAACATGGTATAGTTTCAAGAACCACAATGCAAAGGTTCAACATGGTATAGTTTCAAGAACTAATGAACTGTGCACTGGAATATGTGTTTCATGTGGCATCAAAATGTACTATTATTTCTCTACATGATCCTAACAAATCAAATATGTAGAAACATGACATTCTAATTGGTCGTTACATGCATCATAGCAATCATATATATATTCATTGTCATAGCTCTAGAAGAACATTGATTCTTGAAGGTTTGGAACCCAAATATTTATAGAACGCACACATGATATACCCATCTCGCAACTGCAGAGCTCTTTAGCATGATTTCAATTCTTGATAAATGGTCAAAGTTACCAGTTTGCTATATGTGGAATAGAAAACTGATAAGAGTAAAATGGATAAAACGTCGGATACAGTCTCACCTTCAACAAGCGCAAGTCTTCTTCCACTTCAAGGGTCATGGTTTGTGCTGCCATGTCAAACCTAGTTACAATAATAAGCGTATAAGTACCAGAATTTAGAACGTCAACTACTATGGTTAGTAAGCCGATAGTATCTAGCAAGGCACAACCAAAGATTTTAAAAATCATATTAATCAGCATTCGAACGAAATTGGATCCATGTTTCTTTCAAGGATCAATAGTAAAACTGCTGAAATTTCAAGAAAAGATCATATACCAGCTCCTCCCAGCCGTGTCACTGACTTGCTTTCTCAGTAAATTATTCAACTTTTTTGGGTTGTTTGGTGGAACAAACAGCCCATCTACAAGCTCTGAGTTGATTTTCCAAACAAGGCTATTTTCTGCTTGACTGTGAGAATTGTCACAAGCCTTAGTTTTGATCCCCAATGAGGAGGCTGGTAGGTTTGGCTCCCAAGAGAGGCCAATGATAGGCTTTATTTCTGACATCTACGACAAATTTAAAAAGGAAAAACAAAATCAATCAGTTCCTGGTCAGGTTGGGTTTTCGTTTTATGGGCAATCGGACTTCCACTGCGAATGGTGGACGGCCGCTAACACGACGGCAACACGGCAACGCCACCAAAACGACCTCCAGGCAAACAAACCCACGGCTTAATCCGTCTTACGCAGCGCAAGATCGTGGGATTGAGGAAGATTGGCAGAGAGGGAAGAGAGTGTGAGATCGCGAGGGTTTGGGACATAATCGGACGCGCGAAAACCCTTATTTTTCTCAATCCAAATCGGACGCGCGAAGGTTAAACACTTATTTCTCTAAATCCTAAACTAATCAAAAGCTTTAAATATTAACTATCAAAAGCTTTAAATATTAGGCTATTATAAAAACTCAAAAAAAATATTTACCCACCTATAAACTTGAAATGAAAAATTAATATAAATGCTTAAAAAATAAAAGGGGGGGAAATAATTAATTCTCAATTAGCACCATTTGATTTTTCGAGGGTTCACAGATTTCCTTCTTGGCTAATAGGGTTGTTACGTTCCGACTTGCAAGAGCTCGTCGATTACTTGGCTGAAATTTTGCCACCGGCCGATGCTCTTCGTCGTCCACCGACCACAATCCGCCGTCACTTCACTGTCCGAGCTTCGGTTTTCACGAACGTTCTGATGCTTTGCTACTACTGAGCCGTGTAGCCGCCACTGCAGTACCACTCTCATTCACACATCCTGCCACTGCCATGGCGATTCCTTTTGGGAAGATCACCATTCTCGTTGGAGCTGGTTCACACACAGTAAACTTAGTATTTTAGTTTTTCTGCTTATTGAATGTGCTACTCTGTAATTTATTACTTGCTTTATCGTGGTTCGTGGTAGGGACGTTTGATGAATAAAAATTATCAGGTCGATACATGGTCTGTTTGTGTGGATTGATCGTGGCGATTGGTTTTTTTCTGTGCCAGAACCTTAGCATTGAGGTTATGAGTTAGCTTGAGGATCTTCCAACATGATCGACGTATATTATTGCGGAATTGGTGCTTGTTTTTATTTTCCAATGTCGAATATTCGACAGTGTGATGTTTTTTCAGCACTGTCTTGAGTTTAGCATCGGTGTCTTACTTTATTCTATAGTTGAAGTTAATGTGTGCTGTAGTCGTGTCTGTATACCACGAATTGCCAAGGAAATACGAGCTTGTGTTTCAGAAGCTGAAAGCATAGCGAGTGGAGACGTCTTGAATTTCTGTTGTACTTGTCCTAAATCATGCATTTTTCCATTTGGCGGTTAAATTGTATTGTTTACAATGCTAGTTCACCAGTTTTACCGGAGTTCTGGAGAAAATTAGTGCAAATCACGTATGGTCTATTCTTTCAGGTATTGTTGGCTCTGTTCTGGCAAAAGAAGGACACCTGCCATATGTATCGGATTTTGTCTCAGGTGCCTTTAAGGTAATCTTCTGTATGAAAACTCGCCTCTTACTCTTGATGAATGGTTGAAAATTTTAATTTTTCAATTGAGATTATTTATTTATTTATTATTATTATTATTCTTTTGAGGGGGGGCGGGGGTTGTATGGATGCTGAAGCAGAGCAGATAATACAGAGAAAAAATAAACTAGAGGAAAACTGTAGAATCCTCTCCAGCACCTTAGAAACCAAACTAGTGCTTTATCCTTGAGTTAACAAATCTTTAACACATATTGTCGAAATCTGATAAATTTGATTTACATGCTCACCAAATATTTTACGAAAGCTGTACTTAAAGACGAACATAACTCATCCAGGGGCAAGGAAACCTTTTAAACTGAGACTTGGATGTGGAAATTCAATTGGAATCAGTATCTGGTTGAAACTTGGTTTCAAGACACTGACTGCTAGCTAGAGCTCTTTTTTTGCAAGCTCCTTGTGTTTCGTTTTGGGAGATTGATTACTTTCCCTCTGTATAAATACATCTATTGAAATGCTTTCACGTATATCTATTCTCCTTCGGTAGAATGTGTTTTTGTTTTTGCTCTGCATTAGTCTCATTTAGATTTGATAAATGCATTGGTATGTTGACTTTGAGTGAGGAATTAAGTTGCTGAAACTTGTATTAATGATTCAACTGCTACCCACTTCACTAGGTTTTTTTAGGGTCTTACATTTTTTTTTATTTCTGTTATTGTTTTTGTTTGTTTGTTTGCTTTTTATTTTTATTTTTTATAAATATTATAAATAGTGGTTGGTTGGTTGTAGATACCTCTTTGTAAACTTTCCAACTAATCAACAGCCAGTTTTCTAATATTGTACAACCAAAAAGACTGGACGTAAGTTTGGTCGATTTTTCGGATTTTTACTTTCAGTTATACTCGAACAAAATAATTTTACATGCCATTAAGAAATTGTTTTCAGCTCAAAACCATGCGTTATTATTTGTTATTGGCTTCCATTTTTGGACCAAAGTACATGACATGCTTTGTAATCAAAGTAAATGTTGAATCCAGTTATGGCTTATTGGAGGGTTATCGAGAACTATGTTGTTCTTGACTAGAGGTTGATTGAGAAATAATTTAAATTATTAGATTAACACAATCTAGCAGCTTAAATTTTAGGATCAATAATGATGGGATGGGGTTTTCCTCCTATTTATCTTGGTTAACTTAATGCTTGGTGATTGCATATTGATGTTTTTTTTTTGTTCTTGACCTTTGTCTGTATTCTCTATGAAATCGACCTTCTTAAATTGCAGAAGTATTTTTTTGTTTTTTCATTGGTCCACATGCCTCTTGTCCAGCCACTACACTTCTCCCTAACATTTCCTAATAGTTTGTCATTCCCGTCAATTTTTGTGGTCTAATTTTCTTTTTTGCTGTTTCTATTTATAGATTGCTCTAAAGCGTATCCGCCGTGATGACTCTAGCACTTCAAAAAGCAAACCACGTAATGACTCTTTAATGGCTCAGGTGTGTTTATTGAACTGTCTATCTTGAACAAAATGATTTAATTGTTAATTTTTTTGAACAATTGCTACTAGCTGTGGTAATCAATCAAGAAAAGGTTTCGACTGTTCTCTCTCTTATCTTATCATTAGCGCGATTTAGATTAGGATTTGTAATTCAGATTTGACACTTGATGGCCCCGACATTCCCTTGCATCTCCTGTGACATGGCTATGTTATCTACTTGTCTTGAAATATTTCTAAGAGTGAAGGCTATCCCTACAGACCAACACGGGTCCTTTCAAAGTGTTTTATTCTTACTCACATGCTTCTTAGGAAAATTCTTAGGAGGTCATCCAACGTAGAATTGCTCCAAGCAAAGTACGCTTAACTTTGGAGGTCATATGATTGAGCCACCGAGAAAGAAAGGTGCATTTTATTCATAATAAGTAATAACTTTCAATTTTTTTGAGTTTTTCTCAACTATCATATCTTTAGGATCGCTAGCACTGAAATGTGGTCTCGGTTTATTCATTTACCTTTCCTTTACTTGGACATCACTATCACCCACCCATTAGTCTTCCAAGAAACACACATTTGAGCCCTCCCCAATAAAGCATTTAACAAACAAGGAAAAAGACAAGAAGCCAAAGGTAATCACTTTCTATAGATTTTTATTAGGCCCTATGACACTCGAAAGGGTGCGGACCATAACTTTGCACCACAAAGTGTCGAGCTCCATGAAAAATTGCCACGACTATTTCTCTAGTAGAGCCTTGTTATGTAATCTCAAACTCACAAACCTTGGGTCACCCAATTCTACCGGCTTCACCACAACTTCCACTTAACCAAATGTGACCTGCCCCCCACATCCACCCCTTCCCACAAGAATTTCCTTATCACTCTTTCAATACTCTTGCACACATAGATTGGCATCTAAAGAGAGATAAGAAATAACTGGAAATTTCACTTATCACCATTTGGATGAGAGTGAGCCTTCCCCTTTTGAGAAAAAAGGTCTTTTCTCCCAAAAGACAACCATTTATGAATCTTATCCAACATCAGATTCCAAACATTTGTTTATACTTGGAAGGTTTTTATATTGACTGAAAAAGGCTTTAGCACAAAGACAAACCTACGGCAGTATGATAGATTCACTGTCATACCTCTTCACCCAAAGAGAATACAATAAATTTAAGGGAGGATGAGACGCTTCTATGTAGTTCTCTAAAGTTTTAGATGTCCATCTATGTGATTGGAAACTGGTTTGTTTGATTGGGGTGTCTCTAGTGGGAGAGTTACTTTCCTCAGTAGAGCCCGTTTAGGTTGTTGGTAACTCAACAACCAGAAGGCTACATTTGCGAGAAACCAAATGTTTACTTTTATTACTTTTTTGGTAGTTTTAAGGTTGACAACTTTTTTGTTTTATGTAACTTCAATAGAAAGTCTTGAAATAAACTTACTTTATTTTGTGTTAATTTGCCGAAGAAGGCACGATTAAGATCCTCCTTCTTTTACAATAATTTTTGCTGTTGTAATTTGCCAACTTGAATACATTTTTCCATTACAATTTCATTTGCAAGTCACCATATTATGTTCGTATTATTGTTTTTATTTGTAGAATGGCAGTTGGTTAATTGCAAGTAACACATTTATAGGTAAAAAGCTTACGTGAGGAACTGGAAATGTTAGCATCAAATCGTCAGATGACAATTGTGACTACTGGCGGGAGAGGTCTTGATGATATTTCTATCTTTTTTCTTTAGATAGATATTTATGAAGATGGCTTCTTTGTTCTTTCATCAAGTGATTTTTGTTCTCTTCAAATTTTTGTTTGAAGTTACTTTTTTGTAAATAATATACAAGGAACAACTGAATTCCAACTTTTCAAATTAGAAATTTCCCTTGAAGCATTTCTTTTTTGTTTAATTATAACATCAGTTTATGCGATCTATGCCAACTGGAATCCTTCTTTGGATACCTTGGGGTTGCCTCATCTCTCCTTTTGAAGAAGATTTCCTTTCTTTAAAAAAGAAAAAGGAAAAATTGTAGAAGGCTTATTTTGTACGTTGGGTTTGTATATACTTTTGTCCATTGAGAAGATTTTGGTTTTTTTTATCATCCTGTTTCATTTTGGGATGAGTGGCATTTGCTTCCTTCTCATTACTTGAAGAAAGTTTGAGTTTTCTATTAGAAAGTCTTCATTCTATTTCAATATGGCAAGAAAATACTAACCTAATTTGTACATGGAGATGGCATTCCGTTACTTCTCTCAGATTTGTTTTCCATGCTTCTAATTTAATGTAAGACATGTTTTCGGAAAATTTTAGCACGTTCATTGTTTATGTTACTTACATTATTATGTAATTGCTGATGTGTCTATGTAATAAATAATAATGTTCATTTTTCTCAATAACTTTCATTACGAAATAATACTAATAATAATGAGCGGCCTTCTGTGTATATTTAAACTATGTGGTTGTTTATAATGTTATATGAAATCTGACTTAAGTTTGATTGATGCCGATTCACAATGAGATTTTCATGTCAGCAATTGCATTTTAATTGTTGTATTCTATATTTCTTCTCTTTTAAAGGTTCCTTGACTTTTCTTACCTTGATATATTATTATCTCTTAATCTTTGTATTTTTTGTACACAGGGGGTAGGAAATATGGTGTAATCATTCTTGTAGTTGTAGTAGGATATGGGATCGTTTGGATGAAGGTAATTGTGTGATTCGTTTGGGGCAAATTGTGCTGTAATATTCTTATAAAAAAAATTTCCTATGATAACATGTCGTAATACTTCCCAACTCAAAAGTTTAAACTGGTATAATTGACCTTTTTAATACATTTATTTATACCACCAAGTCTGTCAATATTTTTGATAAGACAAACAATTGAAAATTTTAGTGGTAGTATGGACTAGCCTACGAGTTCATCTCTCTTGATTCTATGCCACAGCATTTGGACGTGCCATGTTGCAATTTCCAATTGTTTGCCTCTTTAGAACCTTCTGTCGTATATAAGACACACTACTCTTTTCTTTCCAGGGATGGAAACTTCCTGATATGATGTTTGCTACAAAGCGTAGTCTATCTGATGCTTGCAGTTCCGTTGCTAGGCAGCTCGAGAATGTTTACTCATCCATTGCGGTAATATCTTCTGTCTGAGTGTACTATTTGTCCATAACAGCATTTGGTACTTAATTTTTGAGCTTGCAAGATTTTTCGATATCTCATTTAAATTATGAACTCAAATCATTGTATGTGGTCAGATTTTATTATAAATATTTTGATGTTTTCCATTGAATCAATGTCTTTGTGACTTCTCCTGCTATGTGATTGTCCAGGCTACAAAACGGAATTTATCTTCAAAAATGGACCACGTCGACAAAAGTTTGGATGAGTCTTTGGATCTCACTGCTGATACACAAGAACAGGTACTGTCTTTCTAAAGAGAGATGGATTGGAGATCATTGACTGAACTGTATATTTTCTTTTTGGCCATAAAGGTTTCAGAACTTCGAGGTAGATCAGATACTTTTGGCAGGGATATTAAATCCGTTCATCATGCAGTCCAGACTTTGGTAACTGCTTCTCGATGATATAACTTTACCTTTTATTATTCCTTCTTTGTAATTTATCTCAGAACTTTAAATTAATGACTGACCTGTTCTCTGTGTTCTCTAGGAAAATAAACTATGGAGTTTTGAAGAAAAGCAGGTGAACCTTTTTTTTTTATATAGTTTTAATTAAATTTGCCATAACCCATCAACTTAAGCTTTTGGATTGATTGGTGACTTGAGATGGTATTAGTTTGACTTCAAACCTCCCTTTCCTATCCAATTAATATTGATTTGCACTTGTTGGGTCTTTTATAAATTTTCAAGCCCACAAGTGAGGGACAGTGTTGGAGTGTTAATATAATTATATTTACTATAACCTGTCAGCTTAATGGGTGATTTAGCATTTTCATTACAATATTTCGTTTGATGTTTATATCGTTTTACTCAGTTTCCAGCACATATAAACGCCTAGACAATTGGTGGTGGTGTTTACTAACGATTGTTTTGGCCTTTGATTCTATGCTTAGGAACTAACGAATGAAGGTGTTAAGAGATTGTGTAATTATGCTTGGAACATGGAGAATCGCAGGACTGCAGAACGTACTCAGGCATGCTTCAAAACCCTTGGTCTTTCTCTCTCTCTCTCTCTTCTTTTTAATAATTAATTTGGGGGAGGGGACCTTCTTACGTAGTTTCTTGCATTTCTTGTCAGACAAATAAAATTTTCACTGTAAAATTTGCAATAATCATGCACCTTTGAACCATGAAGATCAGATTAATGGAGCAAGACAAACAAACTTTAGAAAATAATTAACCTGATCTTTATGGTTCAGATCATGGACCATGGTTGGATCATTAGTCATTGTCCGGAAAATTTACACCTGCACCATTGATATCTGGAAATGTGAATCTTAGAATACATAGATTCACACACCTTTCCATATAACTGTGAATTTTGCAGGCAATTCCTTCTAGTTCCTCCAGGCAAGCTCCTGAACTCCCTCTAACAACTCCTTCACCAAAGGTAAATATGAGCATTTATCTGTTTGATAATCCTTTCACAGAAACAATATCAGAATGGTGATAGATAGGCTTAGAGAGCATAACTAAATTGTTGCATTCTCTCACTATTTGCTTCTCTGTTTTATCAGCAGAATCGGTCGTTGCGGGTTGGTTTTTCACCAGATCCGCCGTCTCCTTCCGAGTACAATGCTTCTTCTAACCAGGTTAGTTAATTTTACCCTTGAATAGATGATGTTTTTGCATTTCTTTGAAAAAGAGAGAGAAAACGGCAAGATTTTGGAAATGAATTAGTTCCATGGTGCATGGTGCATGGTGCATGGTGGTGCATGCCTAAGTTATTAAAGTCATAAGTCTCTGGATCCCCAAAAATTATAAGTATAGGAAATTTCCTACGAGATCAGTCGAAGTGCAAGTGCAAGTGTGCGTAAGCTATATGGGTATTTTGAAAAAGGTTAAATTATCAAGGATTCCCCTGAACTAGGGGTTGGTTTCAATTATACCCTTTGAGTCTTTTAACAGTTGAAGTTTGTTCCAAAACAAACTCTGTAAGCTTTTGTCATGAAATTCGATAAAGTTTGTATCTATTTACGTAAACAAATCAAAATACTTAATGGAAAAAAAATTAAAAATAAAGACATCCGACACATCTAAACAAATCAATGCATGAATGTACGGACAAAAGCCTTTGAGGGTTTTATTTATTTATTTTTTTTTAAAATAAAAAAAACCTTCTAACTTAAGGGTATTGTTTATAATAGTGAGAGAATGCAACAATTAAGGGTATTGTTTATAATAGTGAGAGAATGCAACAATTAAGGGTATTGTTTATAATAGTGAGAGAACGCACCAAAGATGAAATTTGTTCAAACTTTGGGGTTATAATTGAAACCAACCCCATAGTTTAGGGGTATTGTTTATAATTCAACCTTAAAAAAATTACACCAATTTTCTTTTGTGCAAATTTGTGATAGCTTTTACGTGCTTCTAATTTGAATTGCTCAAGCGTTTCCTCATGATTTATTGAACAGAGAAGTACACTATTGAGCTTGGCTTATGTCATAACTTACCAAAACAGTCACTTACGCTATGATTCAGTCTCAGGTTCAACCTCAACGGCGATCCCCCCAAAATAATGTCTCAGACCCCGGCTTGATGATGGTTGCATATATTCTGAAAATTTGTTTCAATGCACCAATACAATCATCTGTACAATTCTAACATTTATTGGTATGCTTGGCAGTTAGAAGGAACTACCAATTTGAACGCGCCGTCAAGCATCAGCCTGGATACAATGTCAAATGGAACTGGTACATTCAATTCCACCAAAAGCGAGGCCGGGACTTCTGGTCTTTCTGGACTTGGCTTTCTCACCAGGACTAGAAGTGCAATGACTGCAGTATTCCGGCAGTCTCGCCCAAGTGTTCAATCTTGAGGAACCCTTATTTTTGTAGAATTATCTATCGACACTACCGGCAGCCTGAGGACTTGTTATATAGCTAAAGCTGGCAGTGCCCAACCCAGGAGGTGAAGAAGATATCGTATAGTTTCTGGTGGGTACGGAATTTTGTAGTTATTATTATAAAGCTCCTTTTCTTATTCTTCTTTGTTCTAGGTATCAGTGTGGTTATTCTTTTTTTTTTTTTTTTTTTTTTTTTTTTTTTTTTTTTTTTTTTTTTTTTTTTTTTTTTTTTTTTTTTTTT